AAAAAAAAAAGAATTTAATGCTGTTGCTAATCCAGCAAGAGGTGGAGCTCAGGTGTTCAGGCCGTGAAGCAAGTGATGGGGAGTGGCTGCAAATATGGATGATGCTCTGCTAGCTCACTTGCTGCTCCCTGGGAGTGGGGGTTATAGTGGTGGGTGGGGAGTTGGATGTCCCCTCACCAGCCAGCCAGCAAGTTAGCGGATTCTGTAGCAAAGTATCTTCACTAGTTCTCATCCTCCATTCTTAGAACAGATCCCTTCCTTCAAGCCCATCATCTCTCATGACATTTATCTCCTCTTGTCTCTTTTCCATGTTCTGGTAAGGAAGAAAAGATTAGCTATTAAGTAGTGAATCCGAACAGGCTAAAACCCTTACTCCATCCCTCACTGGTGGCTTTCAGCATGAGTAAAGCCTGCTTTCCTTAGCACAGCAGAAAATTCCATCCAGGATCTGGCTTTTTTCCACCTCCCACTGCACCCTTCTCCTATCAGAGAATTTGTGAGCAATACAGATTCTTAAATTCAGAATCTGAGGTAGGCTCTAGCAATCTGCTTGTACTAGATTTCCTGGTGATTGCAGAGTTTAAGTGTCACTGCCCTACTGGAGGTAGTACCCATACTATCCATGCTGCCCTCTGTGTGTGTGTGTGTGTGTGTGTGTGTGTGCGCGCGCGCATGCATGTGTCTTTGTATAGCCTGAGACTAGGTATCAGACCATCAAGAAAACTTCTCAGAGCTCCTTGTCTCCTCTGGGTGGATGGTTTTCTCAGGATTCCCTGTGCCATAGGCTTTCAGACATTGTATTAAGTTATCTGCCTATGGGTTTCTTTCTCCTAATAGATTGTGAATTCCTTGAAGGCAGAATCTTTTATTTTTTTAATGTTTTTATTTCCAGCAACTAGTACAGTGCCTGGCGTGCATGCTTCAATACTTTGTAGGCACTTGTTGAATAAAAAATAATGTTAGGACAGAAGAGGGAAAGCTCCTAGCATGGCAAAGAAATTATTCAAGATTTAGATTCTAAAGACCTAACATAAGAACAAACTTTGTAACCATCAAAAAGTTACTTGAGCTGGGCGTGATGGTGCATGCCTGTGATCCCAGCATTTAGGAGGCTGAGGCAGGAGGATCATTGCAAGTTTGAGACCAGCCTGGGCTACAAAGTGCGCTCAAGGCCAGCCTGAACTGCATAGAGAGACCCTGTCTCAAAAAGGAAAAAAAACTGACTTGATCTTTCTCAGCTTCATTTTTTTCCTGAAGTTATAGTGGTTGATAATCTTCCAAAATAAATGATAGATATTAAACTATAGATCCGGAACACTCAGAGATCACCAAGAAGGACAATTGCTCGAAAATAATTACACATGAGGCTATTTTGTTCAAGCTGCACAAAAGCAAAGGAAGAGAAAATTTTATAAAAAGCTAGAGGGAGGAAGCGCCTAAGATACTGAGAAGCAAGGTTAAGAATCATGTTCTGCATTTTCTGGGAAGCTGTGTGAGCAAGAAATGTGTATAGTAAAGTGTTGACAGAAAAAAAAAAAACCAGCAGCCAAAAATTCTTAATGCAGTGACATTATCCTTCAGAAGTGAAGAGGAAAGATTTTGTAATATAAATGAAAATTGAGGGAATGTATTGCCACTAGATAGCTTGCAAGAAATATTTTAAAAAGTTCTTCAGGGAGAATTATGATATAGGTTAGAGGTTCAGATCTGTATAAAAAAAGGAAGGGCATTAGAGAGGGAATTAGAGAAGGTGAAGTAAGATCCTGGTTTTCTAATTGGCCTAGTAGAGATTGTTTCTTTGAAATCATGGTAACAGTGTACTGGCTGATGACAGCTTATGACTAGGGGACAGAGGAACCCGCAGTGCCCTACTGTAGGGCACGTAGACTCCTACAAAAGAGGGTAGTGTTGTTTGAAAGTGGACTTGAATTTATTATTTTGGATGTGTATTGCAAACACTACAATGAAAATAAATTTATAAAAATGTATGAGTTGAGAATCTTTAATCTGAAATGTATGGACTAGAAATATTTCAGGTTTGGATATTTTAATTTGGGGACATTTGCATATACATAATGAAATATCCTGGGGATGGTACCCAGAGCCGCACACAATATTCATCGGTGTTTCCTGTGTGCTTTGAACACATAGCTCGAAGGCGGTTCTGTTCAGTATTTGTAGTGCACTTGTGTTTTGACCACAACCCGTCACCTGAGGTGGGGAGTGAAACTTTCCACTTCGCACAGGGATGTGTGAGCATGAGACTGATGTGCTAGAAAAAGGCTTACTTAAAACTAGAAGGTAAAGAGAGGGGAAGATAAAGAAAGAAACAGGAACAATTAAATGAATTAAAAAATGTCACACACCTGGTAGATTCCTGTTCAGCTATGTGAAGACATGCAATACAGGCCAGAAACTTTACAAAGACATAGAAAATGGGAAGTAAGGCAGAAGTCTATAAATATATTAATTGATAATCTTATGGCTTTTAAAAATGAGAATTAATGACTTTATGGTTCATATCATTTGTTTTTTCTTATTGTACTTCACTGTGCTTTTACATATGCAAGTTTTCATTTTATAGCTAGATTTTTGTCCACTGGAATAGTTTTACTCTATTAATAGTAAAATTAGATTTCATGCTAGTCTTTATACTTTTTGTAAAATGCATGATTCCTTTATTTAAATGCAGGGTTTTTTTTTTTGTTTCTTGTGCCACTACTGTCTGGGGCAGGGAGACTGTCCATGTCTGACTGGTGCTAGATGGTCTCCCAGCTCATCTAGCTCTCAGGATCTGGCGAACATGATGGTGACTGTTCGGGTGCCTCCCTTCCCCTTTGACGTTAGCTGGGCCCTCATTTCTTGGTGCCCAGAGATGAGCTTTCTGTCCTTGTCCTGGAACCAGTGATGCGTGGAAAGATATGTGTCCTGTTAATCTAAGATGTGTGTTATTTCGGTGGTGCTAGCTATATGGCTGATACTGAAGACACTCGAAAATTGTTATTCCTCTTTCCCTTAAACTTGTTTGTTAAAACAAGCTCTGAGTATTATTAAAAAACCCAAAAACTTGCTTCCAGTTTATTCTGTGAAGCCGGGTGTGTGCGCTGGGGAACGGTCTGTGATCACAGGAGACTCCTGGATGCTTGGACCCAGTCCCTGCCAGCGCCCAGAGAGGCTCAGGTAACAGGACAGACTCATTGTATGTGCCTGTAACATTTCAGATTCCTTCTGGCAAAATATTTCACATTAGCAGTGTCACCTTGGCCAGTGACGACTTCTTGGAAAGCAGCAAAAGAATGTTACTGTGATATAAAGTCAAGGCATTAATGTGTCAGTTTAATGATGTTTTGTTTCAGGGATCTTTGTGTCTTTATAACTTCCTCATTTATGTTTCGTGGGAAGGTACATTTTGCTCTACTTTATTATTTCCAAGGATGCTGGTAATTACAGTCTGTATTTTAATTGTTCCTAATTGCTGTTAAGTAGCAGTCATTTCAGCATATGGAAAATGAAAATGAACTGTAATAATACTGCACGTCTCACAGTTATTAGAAGTTCTTAACCAGGGACCTGCAGTGACAAATTAAAAGGCAAATGGTTAAACAGTATTATTAAAAAAAGAAGAAAAATACCTGACTCCGTTTACTTACTTCCAGTCTTTTTTTAATAGAACATCTTTATAGTTCCCATCGTTCTAATGCCTTCACCCTGCACTTTTAGTTCAATGTATGTCCGTTGCCTGTTCTCCTTAGATGCTTTCTTTCACTCTTGTTATTTGCACATCTCACTTTCGTAGAGGAATGGATATAAACATGCAAACTGTCAGACACCTTCAAGGTTTCTAATTTTCTATGGAAATCCATTTCATATTCTATAATTCACTAATATAAGTCCTATTTTGGGAAAAAATGAAAACCTGATGGATTGTTAAAATTACAAACTCAATTCTCTTCCATGATTCTGCTCACAAACCAAATTGGATGAGAACCGAATCAAATTTCCCCCATAAGGTCCATATTGCACCTAACCACTGAATTTGATTCGGTTCTTATCCAACTCAGTATGTGACCTGAATCTCCAAAAGAGTCAAGTTTGGGTTTTTTTTGGTTTGTTTGTTTGTTTTGGTTTGGTTTTGGTACGGAAATTGAACTTGCGACCTTGTGCTTGCCAGGCAGGGGCTTGCACCGCTGAGCTATATCCCCAGCCCCAAGAGTTGAGTTTGTGAACCGAGGTAGCACTGTATCTTTTGAGTTTTATCAGCCTGTATCCTTCAAGTTTCAATTTTTGTAGTTTTCTCTCTCTCCCCCTCTTTCCCCTTAAGATAAGAATTTTCTCAGTGAATAACATCTGTACTCCTTGGGGATATTTATTTAACTTCTGAACTGTTTGATACTTAAAAATTCATGAGAGAGAAGGATTGAGAGGGCAAGCTGACAAGGAATAAAATGTTTCTAATCCCACAGGCAACTAAACACTTACTTATCTTTGTCAACTGCTGAGTCACACAGAAAGTGGTTCAATTTTTAAATTTTCTTGTTAAAAGAGAGGGTGCAGGAAAAAGGGGAAAGAATTGAGATGTGTTATATACATGAATCAACTCCTCACAATGCATGTAATCATTATGTACATCAAATATGTAGTGATAAAAATTTAAAAAAAATTTTAAAAGAAATTAATCCAATTACCTGAAAGTTAATTTTCCGACTAAACACACCAACTCATAAATCCCAGTGGCAGACATCCCCATCCCGTCTGTCCCGTGGGTTCAAGGCACTGGCAGGATGTGTGTATCACAGCTCAGGTTTTAAGTCCAGGAACTGACTGGTTCACTTAGAACTTTATTCTCTCCAGAGTCACATGTGTTCTTGAGAGATACATGTGCTTAATTTCCAGATAGAAAACTATCTGCTGCGGAATCACGAGACTAGAAAGTACCTTCAGGAGCAGGCCTACCGCCTCCAGCAGGGCATCGTCACCAGCACCACCCAGCAGGTAAGGGGGCCCCCGCTGCTCTCTCCCCTGGCTCCCCTGACCCCCGCACATCCTCATGCAAACCGGGCAAGAGCTGTGCCACCCAAATGCATCCCAGCCCTCTGTCTGCCCTTCACTGCACCTTGTAAGAGCAAAGGGTGTCTGTTCTTCCATGGATCACCAGGAAGACAGCAAGAATCGGTGCTTGAGAATGGCAGCCAATGTTATTAGAGTTTGTGGGAAGAGGAAGGAGTAAGAGGAGGCCGATCCCAAATGTGCACTTGTCACTGTTGCTGGCTTAGTGCCTTTTCATACAGCCAGGAAGGTGTGCTTCAGGGTACTGTACAAACATGAGGGAATCCTGAATACAGATCGTGAAGTCTGGGGTGATTGGATTTACTACATTCTGTACAGATCTCTCTGGTCCTTTGCCGTCAGGTGCTGAGGTGCAAATCTCCGGATTTTTGTGAATCCGCAAGAGTTTGTTGAGCACTAATTAGCACTAAGTGCCAAAGAGAAACCGAAGAGCTTTTCTGTCCGCGCATTTCTCTTTCCTCTCACGAAAAACAAACAATTCTAATAATATTTGTTTTGTTTTGTTTTGTGTGTGGTACTGGGGATTGAAAATTAAAGCTTTTGCACTGAGCTACATCCTCAGCCTTTTAAAATTTTTAAATAGGGTCTCACTGAGTTGCCAAATTGCCCAAGATTGCCTGAAATTTGCAATCCTTTTGCCTCAGCTGCCACACCCAGCTCAAAAAATTCACAAAAACTGAAGATCACAAACATTTGAGGGAAACAGCGCCTCAGAGGAAAAGCAAGGTGAATGAAAGAACTGAGGTCTGATAATTCACAGCATAGCAGAGGGCTGCAATTAGTTAAGTTCATTAGGACTTGAGAAAACATTACATCTGATAAGAACAAGCTGCTATGAAAAGAGTCATCGGAAAATTAGAAATAATGCTTAGCAATTAAAATATCACTGTAGTACAGAATTAAACTGCTTGGACACAGACTAAGCTGTTCTTCTGGAAGAAGAAGTGGAAAAAATATAACATATAGTGAAAAGATAAAAATGTATGAGAGCAAAGCAAGATAGATTCAAATCGAATCAGAGTCACCAATGCTCTTCTAATAGTGATATAGGAGAAACATAATTCCCAGCCTGTTACATGTCAAATTTGCAAAGTTTGTAGTCCCACAACATCAATGAATAAAGTCATGAACCAAAGGAAGTTAGAAGAGTTTTACTGGAAATAGAGAAAAATAGCTCCAGGGATTCTAGGAGGAGTCTGGGATGGCGTGGCCACGGAGGCCCTTTGTCAGGGGTAATTTATACAGCAAAGTTGCAACATGGGTTCAGTGTGGGTCAAACTACAGTCAGCCTATAGGATTATAAGTATAGCTCCTTAGCTAATATTGATCCAATAGGGAAATGAGTCACATAGCAAGGTTCCATGGGAATAACAAAGGCATTTTGGGAAGGGATGGGTCCAGGTACTCTGGTCACCTACCTGGGTGACTGATGCCGCTGTACTTTGTGGACCAGGTGGTGCTAATTACAGTATAATTCCAAGTTACTGTTTATCCCTTAGGCATGTGGGTCTGGCCATTTTGTCTTCATCTGGAGGCCTGGCCTTATTCAGATGTACTTACTGCCACAATTCTAATGTCTTTATACTTTTGTGCTGATTTCCTGGAGGGCCCAGTCCCTCTCTGACTGTATATTAATTTTTATCTAACTTAGGTGCCTATAATATTAGGGGCTTCAAAGTTTAAAAATGAGAGTTATAATAGGCAGAATATAACACAATTCCATTTCTGTTTTTGTTTGTTTGTTTGTTTTGTTTTTTTTCCGGTATCGGGAATGGAACTCTCGACTTCACGCTTGCCAGGCAAGCACTGTGCAGCTGAGCTAAATCCCCAGCCCCCACAATTCCATTTCTTGAGTCTTGGCATTAATTTGACTGACTGAAATTGATCAAAGTGAATGGGCAGAAGATCGACACCTAGATATGTTTTGTAAAAATCTCAAAACTCATAAAAGATGTAGGATCCAGAGAGATTGAACAAGTCATCTTCTGTTTGTTCATTTCCCAGTGCTGGCAGTTGAACCGAGGGCCTTGTGCATGCTAGTGCTTTACACTGAACTTCATTCTTAAAACAGTAGAAGTGTCTTTTAGCATCTGTCCTTAGAAATAAGCAAAGTACTGTCATCTAATTTCAGGAAAAGATTTAATTTAGGCCAAGAATTCTATACCCAATTATTGTATTACTTAGAGTGAGGACAGAATAAAGGCTTTTTTCAGACATGAACTCAGAAGTTGTTTCGGTTTTTTGTTTGTTTGTTTGTTTGTCTTTTTGAGACAGGGTCTCAGTATGTGGTTCAGGCTGCCCTTAAACTCACTTTGTAGCCCAGGCTGGCCTTGAAGTCACAGTGATCTGACTACCTCAGCCTCTCCAGCCTCCCAAGTGCTGGGATTACAGGCATGTGCCACCTCACCCAGCCAGTGGGCTCAGGACTTTTGCCCCCACTTTTCCTACATGAAAAAAAGTTACTTTAGGAAGTTCTTCAGTTTAACAAAGAAAAACAAGAGAGTATACAATAGTCAGTATAAATAAGAAACTGTAACAGAGATGGTAGTTGAAAGAACATTTTAAAAAATACCGCTTTGGGATAATCTACTTTGAGGTATAAGGTAAAGAGTCATAGAATTATGTCTTTTCCCCTTAGGGCTCACAGATACAATTTTGTTACTGTCAGAGTACTTGGAGTTTCACTATCAACTTAGACATGGAGGGGAAACTTAGTTATTGTTATGTTATAGAATGTGGACACTGAAATCTTCACACTGTAAGAGTAATGAAAGCTAGGACCTGAAGATGAAGAATATTGACTGGTAGCAGGAATGTGTTAAATTTTTAGTTTATGTTTCATGGAATCAGCTGGTGTTGTCCATAACTGATAAATCAAGAATATAATGATGAATCTGTGGAAGCCGCTAGAAAAATGAAATAAAGTGTTTATCTCTGAAGATTGAGAAAGAATAACTGCTAGTGAGTTGCTCTTTCTTTTTAGATCATTTTGTGTAGTTTGCAGATATCTTTTTTTATATTGAGAGAGAATGAAAGGCGCCTAGAATAAAAATACGTTTAATATTCAAGTCAGGTAAACTTATAGGACAATGACTGCACAGGTAGGCCTAGAGACTTGTGAAAGGGTACTCATCAAACTGGATAATAGTTACCCTGAGTTAGTGATGGCAAACCTTTCAGAGCTTTTTAGAGATACCAGCAGCCTGCTGCGGCATGTGTGCCATGGGCTTGCCACCACTGTCCTGGGTGGTGTGATTTTTATTCTCCTTTACTTCTCAGTATTGCTTAAATGTTTTACTACTAACATGTATTATTTAAATTAGAAAAAGTACAACAGTTTATATTGAGAATAAAGTATTCATAAGTTATTAATGAAGTAGCTGGAAGTTTTAAGAAAGAAAGCAGCATTTTGACTTAACAGTGCTTTAAAAACTGTTCAGAATTTCCAGCAAAGGGCTAATCTTCCCCTAGTACTTCCTGGTTTATTATTACTTCCTGGTTTTAGTGTTTAACATTCACAGCAATGAGAGTGCTGAAATCTTGCACTGAACTTTGGCCCTGTGTTCCTTTTTAAGCTACCAAAATGCAGACTTCTTTCTTATGCAATCTTTCCAAGTTTTTCCTCATTCAGTGGGAATTTTACCAATCCAAAGAAAACTACTGCAACAATCCTTAATGCTCATTCTTAGAAGTCAGTATCATCTTCTCAATTGAAAGGAAACTGTACACAGGAGAGCTGTGTGAATATTTAATTCTGCACAGGTGACATTGTTCTGAATTATTGGGATCATTAGGTAGGTATATGGCCACCTTTTCTCTGTGGGGAGTTCTTGGGATTTTATGATTGGCTATTTGCAGCTTTCATCACTTCAGTGGCTTTAGGGGAGATTTACCTTGATGTTTTCTGAAGTGTGAACACCGTGTCCAGTGCCTCTGTCAACCGCATAGCTAGTCACTGGTCTCAAGAGACACCAAAAAAAATTAAAATGTATTTGAATGAAACATCAAAGTCCAATAGCTACTCCTATATTTGTTTTTGTCTATTGGCTTTGATTACGAAAGGTTATTATAAGACTCCCTATTCTCCCGCTGCCTTTTTATCATAGGACTTGGGAACCTTTTCCCCAAAAAAGCGATGTAGTAAATAATTTTGGCTTTGCAGCCCAGAGTGTCTCATGGTAGCTACTCATGTATGATTATGCCATAGCAATGCAGCGGGTGCCCACGGGAGTGGGTGAAATGTCTGTTTCCTGCAGACTTCATTAGTTGCTTTTCTTTTGTCAGGCTCCTTTTCTTAGCCTTCAGATCTCTTTAAAAAAAAAGCTGGGCTTGGTAGTGCACACCTGTAGTCCCAGCATTCAGGAACCTGAGGCAAAAGGACCATCACAAGTTTCAGGCCATCCTGGGCTGCATAGTGAGTTTAATACCAGCTTGAACTACACAGTGAGACCCTGTCTCAACCCCTTCCCCCAAAAAGAGCTATTTAGTCAACATGTTCTTTCATAAGTGGATTTTAATACTTGTGATCAGGACATCTTTGCCGCCCCTCACTTTGTAACCTTATAAGACCTGGCCCCTGTCTCCATCTGTCTACTAAGGTATCTCCATGACCTCCTCTTCACCGAGTCCAGCTGCCCTTTTTCTTCCTTCATTAGTAGAGTTGAGAACGTGGACCCTCAGTTTAGATGACTCACATTTAAATCCAGGTTCTGCTCTTCCCTGTCTGTGGGAATTTAAGTTAGTTATTTTCTCACCTCTTTAAACCTTACTTTCTTCCTCTATATACAGGGAGTAAAGAGGGTACGTGCCTCAGAAGGGGGCAAGGATTGCCTGAAGCTGCATGTGAAGGCTTTATGTCCTCACTGAGGACCGAGAATGTTTGTTGCTATCTTTCTTATTACAATGCCCGTCATTGTTGACCACCA